CTTTTACATATACTCAAACTAGATGGTTTCTCAAATTACCTAGTTCAGTCATGTTAAGACAGGTCTGATAACTTAGTCAATGGGGGGAAGAAAAACTTCCACAGTGCAAAGTCTTGTGTGACAGTGGACTGCACCTATTTCAGCACCTTATAAAAAATGAATGGAAGAAAGCATGGTTCAATCTTATCTTTAATATATTTTTAAGAGGAATATTTTATGGAAGTGCTGCATTAAACCACAAGCTGTTTACAAGGAAGATTAATTATAAGCACCACCATGATAAGTTACTTCAAACTGTGCAACCAACATCACAATGGTAGAGATGATATTAGAAGATTAAATGCTGTTCACGCTCTACATTCAACCAGCATACAACTTTCATGGAAAAATCAGTAAGAGGAGTAAGATGACAAATGGAGCTATTTTTCTTTTATGGTAGGATATTTTTGCATAAAGCTGCCCAATCCATATTTAAAAAAAAACACAACTTTTTAATTTTAGCTTAGTATTTCAAATGAAAGCAGTATTTTGTGCTATTTGGTATGATCGAATGTTTGCCACAGAACAGATGTCATTCTAGCTACTAGAATTCAGAAATATTGAAGCTCTCAAAGTTAAAGTAGAAATTCCATTTTATTAACTATATTTCAAATTATTAATGACTTAGGAATCATCATTGCCAAGCACAACAGGGAATAATTCATTATACACAAGTGACTTCCAGTCTGTAAGATAATCAATCTGTCTAAACAGTCAGTGTTACAACATACTATTAAACCAAGTGCTTCAGTGTCAGAGGAGGAGTGCTCACTTTTTTCCTTCTCTCATCTGGCAAGAAAACCAGCCAGGAGTGGAGAGGTAAACACAGGTGACTTATGTTAATCATTGCACATAAAATGGCCTTCCTTCCAATCAGTTGCATTATCAACACACACACCAACATTCAAGCAACTTGCTATCAGCACTGGAGTAACAGTATTGAACACTTGTGCACCAAAAGATATTTAACAAAGGGGGGGAAAAAAGGAAAACAAAGAGTGAATTCTCAATATCTTGCACTAACTGTGTTTTGTCAAGCAGATTTGTATCTTGGGGGGGGTCAGGGTCGAAGTCATAAACTACTTAATACCCTATAAAACCTTTTGGGGAACAATCTTGTAGTGGGAAGAGGCAACATGACAGCATTTAAATGCAGAAACTGTTCTATAGTCTATAAAAATTACTAGTGTTTAACTTTGCATAAAGTGAATTAAAAAATAACCTGCTGTGTAAAACTGAAAACACAAGAAACACCTTATACCACTGTGTTTCTAAATCAAGGCACAGGTTTTATTTTCTCAAACTGTTGAGGGGATGCAAGGAAGCCTGTATGAATATAGGAAGGGTACACACAATGGAATTGAGGAACATCACCTTTGCAAGAGGAAAAAAAAAATCCCTCAAACACCAGCATCTAATCAGTGATTTTGCTTTGTTAGGCTACTGTGGCAGATTATTTTTTTGTACCCAAAGAACAAAGTAATTCATTCAGTTTTATTTTATTAACTATATTTCAAATTATTAATGACTTAGGAATCATCATTGCCAAGCACAACAGGGAATAATTCATTATACACAAGTGACTTCCAGTCTGTAAGATAATCAATCTGTCTAAACAGTCAGTGTTACAACATACTATTAAACCAAGTGCTTCAGTGTCAGAGGAGGAGTGCTCACTTTTTTCCTTCTCTCATCTGGCAAGAAAACCAGCCAGGAGTGGAGAGGTAAACACAGGTGACTTATGTTAATCATTGCACATAAAATGGCCTTCCTTCCAATCAGTTGCATTATCAACACACACACCAACATTCAAGCAACTTGCTATCAGCACTGGAGTAACAGTATTGAACACTTGTGCACCAAAAGATATTTAACAAAGGGGGGAAAAAAAGGAAAACAAAGAGTGAATTCTCAATATCTTGCACTAACTGTGTTTTGTCAAGCAGATTTGTATCTTGGGGGGGGTCAGGGTCGAAGTCATAAACTACTTAATACCCTATAAAACCTTTTGGGGAACAATCTTGTAGTGGGAAGAGGCAACATGACAGCATTTAAATGCAGAAACTGTTCTATAGTCTATAAAAATTACTAGTGTTTAACTTTGCATAAAGTGAATTAAAAAATAACCTGCTGTGTAAAACTGAAAACACAAGAAACACCTTATACCACTGTGTTTCTAAATCAAGGCACAGGTTTTATTTTCTCAAACTGTTGAGGGGATGCAAGGAAGCCTGTATGAATATAGGAAGGGTACACACAATGGAATTGAGGAACATCACCTTTGCAAGAGGAAAAAAAAAAATCCCTCAAACACCAGCATCTAATCAGTGATTTTGCTTTGTTAGGCTACTGTGGCAGATTATTTTTTTGTACCCAAAGAACAAAGTAATTCATTCAGTTTTGTAGCAGACAAATTATGCTGAGAAAAAAAAAACAACAAGTCTGGAAAAAGCTGCAGATCATAACACTGTGGGGAGAGAGGGTCGCTGTGTGGAACAATCTGTTACGCCCAGCCTTAAGCAGACAGAGCAGAGCTGCAGGCTCTAAAGCCTTTACATCAAAACAATGTTATAAAGAGAAAACAGTCACAAACATTTTGCCTTCTGTCATTGCCTACTGCCTTTTTGGTAGCTTCATGAAACATTTTTTTGCAAAAGCTGAAAATACACACTGCACTGAACCAAACCCTGTAATCTGAAACAATAGCTGGAAACATGGCATTTTATTGTCTGTTCTTCTACTAAAGAACTAACTTTTCAGGGAGGGAAAATACAGGGTTGAGAGGAGGAAAAAGAAATAAGATACTATCCATCCTCCTCCTTCCCCTTCCTTTTAGATTTCAACTAAGTCAGGTTACATACAACACGTACATGATAGAAAACTCAATTCTTCCAGTACCCTTTCCACCACTTTCTTCAATCTGCTTTTGCTTTTATCCTGCCAGTCCCTCTATCACTGACACATTCTCTTTTTTTATCCACTGCCTTTCATACTTCTGTTCTACTTCACTAACCTGCTCATTAGCAAACAAAAAATAGACATTGGGGAAAATTTTGATTCAACAAATGGTTAAGTAAAAAAAGGACTGAAAAGAGAAACTGTAATTATATATAAAAATCACGTACATTGGCAAACACTGAGGAACAGGCACTTAGATGAACCAGAGGACATCAGCTTCCCTTCTTTTCTCCAGTTTGGCAACAATATTCTTGCACTTACACAAATAAAAATGGCTTTCCGTGTGACTAAAAGCTGAGCATTACCTCATCCATAATTCAAGAGGAAGGCCTGAAGATTGTCTGATCTATTGCCCCTTTAAAATGACATTGTTGGAACTAACTATGAGTGGTAGCAGTAGGAAGTCAACTCAGAAAACAAAGGAATACTGCCTGGAATAGGGCACAAAATCCTGAATAGTTAGTACCTCATGCCGGTAATTATTTAAGTCTAGAGAGGGAAACTATTTACCTAATAATTTTTCAAGGCTTGTTAAAATTTAAATATACTTCAAAACATTATGCCCTCAGTTCACCACCACAGTATTTCACTGTACTACTGTGACTTTACATTGCTGTGTAATGTTCATAGAAGAGAATATTAATTTGGTCCAGACATTTGACATTTTATTCTCTAGGTGGTAGGAATTTAACTGCTTCATTTCTAACATGCGTAAGTTGCAATTAAAACTGGTACAATAAAGTCCTGTAAAAAATCTAAAATTCAGCTAGAAGCATGTAGTTGGTGCAAACAGAACTCTTTCCAGAACTTTACTGTCCTCTTTCACTGCTCTGAAGACAAGTAACTTTTTTTAATGAATATATGGTATTTTTACTTCATACGTTCTTACGAACAAATATGATCAATTGCATGGCACAGGCAATGCCCACTCACACTTCTGTTCCCTAACTCATTGCACTGCTGGAATAAACATTAAGACAGTGAGCCTTTTCCCAGTATAGTTTTCTGGTCTCTCTTTAGACATACACAGTGTACAGAAACCTGTGCTAGCCCTTAAAGACAGCCAGCACCAAACCCACTGTTAGTGCATCAGCATGCCTGACAATTTATTCTGGGAAGTTCTAATCTAATATAGCTCTTATGAGACACATTATGTATATGCTGGACCACAGGAAACAGTATATTTGTATTTCATCTCAGTGTTCAGAGTATATACCTACAGATGTTAACTGTGAGGAATAAGAGAAACTCCAGATCAATAATCTACCAATCTCCAGCCTAATAAACTTAAGGTTGATCTACACAGACATGTACAGAAGTGCACAGAAGACTATAAATTCTTTTGTCTAATCTACAAGTCCACGTGAACCATTAATATTCTGCAGCAGGAAGTGTCTCCATGCTCTTCCCCTATTTAAAAGTGAATTTATAATCAAATATGTAAGCTAGCACTGAGGAAAGACTAAACATTTGTTTAGAAATCAGAGTCTCTTGAAAATGTGATCTTTAAAGGTCCGGTTTATTATAACATGCAGAGATTGTATGGATGCTGAAAAATCAAGTCCTATTGATCTGACTTTATATTTAGATCACCACTGCTGACACAAAGGAAACAACAGAAACCTGGCTGGGGAAACACTGACCTTAATTTAAACACATACAGAACACTTGAAGCACAACTGAAATACACCATTCACAAATTAACAGCTTAAGAGAAGGCAGGGAATCAGATCAGCCTAATTATGGCAGAACCAGAGCGTGTCTGTGCACAGACATACAGGGGAAAAAACAAAAATTTTGAGTATTAAGCATATATTCCTGTGTACAAGATCCTTTTTTACACAATTGCATTGTTTTCTTGTCCCTTAAACAGAGAAAACAGAAATGAAACTACTGAAATCAGTGACAGATGTAAGACAGAAATAATGAGTTGTGCCCCTAAATGACAACAATAATGTTTTCATTGAAGGTTTATCCGCTCCATTTACTCCAGAGTGCCATACCTGTTGAAGTTAATGTCTGGATAACTAGAATATTCAGACTTCATCTTCGCATTGCGACGTGGAAAAGTACAGAAGAAAGCATTGGCCAGAAAACTAGCAATCTGCTCCTGTGACATTGTGATGGAGTGATTCATCTTTTGTTTCAGTAGAGGTATTGGCTAACAATAAAAGAAGTGAGGGGGAGGAAGGGGCAGGAGAGAGAAAAATAATTAGCTTAGCCATTTTAAAAGAAAAAAAACAGGAACACAAAATCACATTTGTTAAATCAGCGCACGAGTAATTCAGGCCATTGGTGAGCCCTTTAATCAGCAGCACCATTAAAATCAAGAACAGTTTTTTCAAGACAATTCAGAAAAAGCTTGCTTGACAAACTGCAGATTTCTAATCAGCAATAAAAAGAAAGACCAAGAAAACGCAACTTATCAAACAAAACCATAGGGAATGGCAAGGGGAGAAAAAAAATAGATGGGATGCTGCAAATCCTCAATCTTAAAAACTGAAGTAAAAATCCACTTTCAATATGTGCATGGTTAAGAACCCTTAAGGAACTTTGTCAGCTGCAATAACCATGCTTAATACTTTACAATGAAAAAATAAAAAATAAAGGCAGAGTCATGCCACAGAACATCACCCTGTGACTTGCTTTGAATTTTGTTTCATCCAACTTGAAGAAATTATACTGGTAACATTTACAAAAAGGGCATGATTATACATTCTTTTATAATCAGAATAAAGAAAAAGCTCAGCTTCACTTTGGTCTTCAGTTTGGAGTTTTATTTTACTCAAGCCAGTGTTTCTTTAACATAAAAATAAACAAAGAGGGAGGGGGAAACCAAAGAAAACCTGAAGTGCTAGGCATCTTCCATTTTATTAGGCTTTAGCCTCCTGATTTGGAATTTTCACTCACTAATTTCATGGCTTTCTATTCATTTTTTTAAATTATGCAATAATACAGGGCCATGAGGGAAATACCATTCTGACTGCTAGGGAGTCCAGTAACAATTACGATAAACACACTTGACCAGAGAAAGAAGTTTTCACCTCTTCTAATATTCTAAGGCAAAACCATTAGCCTAACTCCAGGAGAGCTGAGCAGTTACATTTGAATCCATTTAGGTGTGAATACAGAAACTGCTACTGATTTGGAGTGTTGAATAAACAGCCCTATTGCTACACAAAACAAACAAATTTTCCTTAATTCTTATAACTCCTACATTCACATTTGTCAAATCTCATTCTGCTCTCTTGGTATTTAATTAACAAGCTATATTGTGATATCTGAAGCCACCCAGTTAGGGGGAGGGAATCCTGAGAAGTCCTCTCTAGTAAGTTTTACAAGCCTATAAAAATAGGATATTTTGGACAGTATGTTACAGTGGAACAAATTTAGCCTTACGTCTAAAAAAAAAGAAAGACTGACACAATACTTCACAATTTACTCTACCTAACAGTACATCTTTATAAAAGGCATTACTACATAGACTTGCAAGTCTTGTGCTTGACTTTGTGTTCAGAAACTTCATAGCATTCTCTTAAACTTCCTCTATCAAGTGACTAGTAAAAAAAATACATATAAGAAATACTAATACTGTTTGAAATGGTGTATCAACTACATGACTCGCACAGCGTAACAAAATAGGGAGGGAAAAATACATTTTCCTTCGTTATGATTAAGAAAATTTGTAAGAAGCTTACAAAGTCCTTACCCATCATACACTCTCACTTACTTATCAGTTCTATTCAATTCTATCAGCTTTACCGCCTACAGAACTGATTCCCACAACAATAACAAAGAAATGAGCTAGGTTTGTATGTGCACAAATATTGCGATGTTCCCAAGTAAATGAAGACTTTATGAAAACACTTGTTCTAGGATTGAAAAATTTCTGAAGTAAAGCATCAGATGGTTTAAGATTATTCAGGTATTTCCGTTTATAAGTGTGATCTTTAAACCCGAAAGGTTTCATGGTTACTTCATTAAAGAAAAGTAAGAAGCAACTCCAGCATACAGAAATATAGAACGGAAAGTGTTACTGAAGTTCAGGCTAAAAATGTGACAGCAAGATGTATTTTTTTACATTCTATTACAACATTAGAGACATGTATTGTCTGGTCTGCTCCCTAGGCCTCAGCTACATTCAACACAAAACTATAACTTTTATTGAGAACGTAACATGATCCAGATGCTTTGACTTTAGCCATTAGTCAATTTGCAGAATTTGCAGAAAAATGGTGTGCCACACAGCACTTAACTAGCTGTGTTTACTAACCTGGGTACAGATACTAGGGAGACAGAGTGCCAACTTGACCATATCAGGAAGAATGGACTGGAACAGATGTTGAGCCTCTGCGTCTTCAAGAACCTGTCAGAAAGAAAGACAGGGAACAAAAAAATTTAGGGAAAAACAAAAGACTTTTACCTCAGAAATAATGGAGACACAAGACATTTGAACACAGGACCCATCCAAAACATAAGAGAAAAAAATAAATCCTGATAGTTTTACACAAGTTGGTAGCATTTGTCATGGGAGTACCTCACGGCAGTTTACCTTGCAATAATCCACTAATTGAAATACAGAAACAACACAAAAGTTGTAGCTGAGTAAACACGTCACCAAATGCCCTATAGAGGAACCTTGACTAACTTATGTCTTGACTCTTTTCACAGAAGCAAACCAAATTCTCAACTGAGAACAATCACTACCTAACCATGAAAGCACTGGAACTATTTCTTAACTTTCACATCATAGCCCAAGTACCTGTGACATTCTTGTGGTAAGGAGATATGAAATGCACTGCTGGGTCAGAGCAGTGGCCTGCAGCAGCAGCTACAGGGAATGCTATGTAAGAAGAGCATTCAAGCCTGGCCACTTTCTGGGGTTCATTCCCACCACATTTCTTTAAGAACTACAGTTGTTGGACTACATACATTAAAGGGTGCAGCATATCTGGTCCCACATGCTTAAGTTGCAATCTTTTCAGTCTTTTCCTGTAAGACAGCTGAGCCTACAATTATTTCAGCTGCCCCTCTTTACCTGCTCTAACATACTTCCTGAGAAGGAGAGATCAGAATTGACAATATTTAAAAAAAAAAGAAAAAAAAAAAGGGGCACATCAAAGTTTCACAAGGTTTCCCAAAGCCTTTTGTACTGAAGACCAAGTCATACCAAACCTTTCTTGTCTTGTTCTCAGTTCTCTCACTGACACTGTGTGGCCCACTGTTGGCATGTTTGGCTGCCAAAGCATATCAAGCCAACATATTCAGACCAAGTGCAGGATCTCTCTTCTAACTCGTCTTCTTGGTCATATAATCAAAGCTTTGTAATTCACACTTCAATGGAAAGTTTCACACAGATCTCAGAATGTAAAAAAGATACTGTTTGCTTTCTTGAGAAGAGAAAAACACAGCGCCTCTGTTTCAAAACATACTATTCCCCACAAAGGCCAAGCTGAAAATATTGTTTGAAGGCTGACAACTTTCTTCTTCCAAGATCATTAAAATAACTACAGAAGTACCTCTGCTCTATTCATTCCCATTTCAAGTGATATAGAGGGGTAAGAGTACTCAGGAAGTTAAAACAAAACAAAACACAAGCACACGCTCAAAGGACAAACAACTTATGGTAGGGGAGGCGACAAAATAAAACAATGTCAATACCTGCACCGTTACTTTCCATACATTATGCTTGCTGTTCATGGAGAGATACAAACAGGGTTGTAATTTAAAGTTTTAAATCAAAACAAAAACTTAAGAACAGCAAGCCTAGGAAATGGGAAAACTCATTTGATATAATAGACAAAGAATATAGGAGTATATGTTTTACTGAAGTCAACTTTTTTTTCCTCAGGGTTAAGAAACAGACAAAATGCATCTTTCACTCCTGTTTACAGATACATGCTACATATTTACACAGTATAGGTCAGATACTGAAAATTATGATCTAACCTTTAACACCATCTGCTCTATCAGGAAACTTTGTTCTGTTCTTAGACATAATGTTTAAGTGCCATAAAGTAAAAACTGAGCATTTAAAAGCTGAAATTTCAGATTTCACTACTGAAAATGAATATATAAATCTATTCAAAAGATGACATTTAACCTCAGAGGTCTACTAGGCTGTCAAATTCTGATATTCTCTCCCCTTTGGGTAACACTTCCTCTCTTCCAGAGTTGACATATAAATAGTGGCTGCTATGCTTTGCTGACTGCCACAGACTATACAGTTTCACTTATCTGGTGACACATTATGGCACTAGACTTTGTCATAGCTGTCAACACTTCAACCTTTTCTTTATGCTTCTTTGAAAACAATGTAATAATGGTATGAGTCAATTTCTTCCCAAAACAGAACCAGGGCCAGCAATTGCAGAGCTCAGCTTTGATGCAGAATGCATAACTGCAAAGGTCACTTCAACTCTGAAATTTTACTTTTTCTTCTCCTTACTTTCCTAATGTTGTACCAGAACATGCTCTCCTCTCTACATTATTTCTATATATGACTTTTACTAGACCTCCATTAACAAAACCCACAAACTTTGGAGCTGTTAGTGCCCAGATTGTTCTCATCAGACTTCAGACAGATTATTATTACATGTAAACAACAAATAAGGTAGAAGTTTTTGTGACCAGTATGGGGTACCACGAAACCTTGTGAAAGTGTAATAAAGCCACTTAAAGCCCACAACTTCAAGATAATCATTGAGTTCACAGACTTTGCCAAGAAACTCCTAATTGTGCCTTATTCTATAAGCAGGCCATCAAGCAGCTCTGTTCAGGCTAAAAATGTGACAGCAAGATGTATTTTTTTACATTCTATTACAACATTAGAGACATGTATTGTCTGGTCTGCTCCCTAGGCCTCAGCTACATTCAACACAAAACTATAACTTTTATTGAGAACGTAACATGATCCAGATGCTTTGACTTTAGCCATTAGTCAATTTGCAGAATTTGCAGAAAAATGGTGTGCCACACAGCACTTAACTAGCTGTGTTTACTAACCTGGGTACAGATACTAGGGAGACAGAGTGCCAACTTGACCATATCAGGAAGAATGGACTGGAACAGATGTTGAGCCTCTGCGTCTTCAAGAACCTGTCAGAAAGAAAGACAGGGAACAAAAAAATTTAGGGAAAAACAAAAGACTTTTACCTCAGAAATAATGGAGACACAAGACATTTGAACACAGGACCCATCCAAAACATAAGAGAAAAAAATAAATCCTGATAGTTTTACACAAGTTGGTAGCATTTGTCATGGTAGTACCTCACGGCAGTTTACCTTGCAATAATCCACTAATACAGAAACAACACAAAAGTTGTAGCTGAGTAAACACGTCACCAAATGCCCTATAGAGGAACCTTGACTAACTTATGTCTTGACTCTTTTCACAGAAGCAAACCAAATTCTCAACTGAGAACAATCACTACCTAACCATGAAAGCACTGGAACTATTTCTTAACTTTCACATCATAGCCCAAGTACCTGTGACATTCTTGTGGTAAGGAGATATGAAATGCACTGCTGGGTCAGAGCAGTGGCCTGCAGCAGCAGCTACAGGGAATGCTATGTAAGAAGAGCATTCAAGCCTGGCCACTTTCTGGGGTTCATTCCCACCACATTTCTTTAAGAACTACAGTTGTTGGACTACATACATTAAAGGGTGCAGCATATCTGGTCCCACATGCTTAAGTTGCAATCTTTTCAGTCTTTTCCTGTAAGACAGCTGAGCCTACAATTATTTCAGCTGCCCCTCTTTACCTGCTCTAACATACTTCCTGAGAAGGAGAGATCAGAATTGACAATATTTAAAAAAAAAAAAGAAAAAAAAAAAGGGGCACATCAAAGTTTCACAAGGTTTCCCAAAGCCTTTTGTACTGAAGACCAAGTCATACCAAACCTTTCTTGTCTTGTTCTCAGTTCTCTCACTGACACTGTGTGGCCCACTGTTGGCATGTTTGGCTGCCAAAGCATATCAAGCCAACATATTCAGACCAAGTGCAGGATCTCTCTTCTAACTCGTCTTCTTGGTCATATAATCAAAGCTTTGTAATTCACACTTCAATGGAAAGTTTCACACAGATCTCAGAATGTAAAAAAGATACTGTTTGCTTTCTTGAGAAGAGAAAAACACAGCGCCTCTGTTTCAAAACATACTATTCCCCACAAAGGCCAAGCTGAAAATATTGTTTGAAGGCTGACAACTTTCTTCTTCCAAGATCATTAAAATAACTACAGAAGTACCTCTGCTCTATTCATTCCCATTTCAAGTGATATAGAGGGGTAAGAGTACTCAGGAAGTTAAAACAAAACAAAACACAAGCACACGCTCAAAGGACAAACAACTTATGGTAGGGGAGGCGACAAAATAAAACAATGTCAATACCTGCACCGTTACTTTCCATACATTATGCTTGCTGTTCATGGAGAGATACAAACAGGGTTGTAATTTAAAGTTTTAAATCAAAACAAAAACTTAAGAACAGCAAGCCTAGGAAATGGGAAAACTCATTTGATATAATAGACAAAGAATATAGGAGTATATGTTTTACTGAAGTCAACTTTTTTTTCCTCAGGGTTAAGAAACAGACAAAATGCATCTTTCACTCCTGTTTACAGATACATGCTACATATTTACACAGTATAGGTCAGATACTGAAAATTATGATCTAACCTTTAACACCATCTGCTCTATCAGGAAACTTTGTTCTGTTCTTAGACATAATGTTTAAGTGCCATAAAGTAAAAACTGAGCATTTAAAAGCTGAAATTTCAGATTTCACTACTGAAAATGAATATATAAATCTATTCAAAAGATGACATTTAACCTCAGAGGTCTACTAGGCTGTCAAATTCTGATATTCTCTCCCCTTTGGGTAACACTTCCTCTCTTCCAGAGCTGACATATAAATAGTGGCTGCTATGCTTTGCTGACTGCCACAGACTATACAGTTTCACTTATCTGGTGACACATTATGGCACTAGACTTTGTCATAGCTGTCAACACTTCAACCTTTTCTTTATGCTTCTTTGAAAACAATGTAATAATGGTATGAGTCAATTTCTTCCCAAAACAGAACCAGGGCCAGCAATTGCAGAGCTCAGCTTTGATGCAGAATGCATAACTGCAAAGGTCACTTCAACTCTGAAATTTTACTTTTTCTTCTCCTTACTTTCCTAATGTTGTACCAGAACATGCTCTCCTCTCTACATTATTTCTATATATGACTTTTACTAGACCTCCATTAACAAAACCCACAAACTTTGGAGCTGTTAGTGCCCAGATTGTTCTCATCAGACTTCAGACAGATTATTATTACATGTAAACAACAAATAAGGTAGAAGTTTTTGTGACCAGTATGGGGTACCACGAAACCTTGTGAAAGTGTAATAAAGCCACTTAAAGGACCCCACAACTTCAAGATAATCATTGAGTTCACAGACTTTGCCAAGAAACTCCTAATTGTGCCTTATTCTATAAGCAGGCCATCAAGCAGCTCTGTTGAAAATACTCCCCTGTTTATGAAGAGGTCTCCTAAACATGGCAGGAAAAGTCAACAAGAGTTTAAGCTCAAACATCATTTGCTTCTTCCCAGAAATGTTAAAGCTTCACCAAACAGATGTCGCAGTGCACAACCTAAGAACTCTGCTGCTCAACTGCAGGTGCTCTTTTTAGAAAACCCCAAAACAAAACAAACAATAAAAAACCCAACAAAACAACAGAAAAAACATCCAACCAATCAAACCCTTCTCCATAAAAATAACTCCTTGGGGAGATATTCAGTCATGTGCTTCCCATTTATACCTTGAGGCTATAAACCCCACTATTGCAGTGTCAGTAGAGTCAGAAACATGTATCCTACTTTGCTTTAAGTTTCTGAAAAAAACTAAATAACTTGAGTCATGGCCACATCCACATAATCATAACTTACCCTTCCACCCGTGGACTTTTCCTGTACGGGTAACATTACCATGAGGCTTCTATGGAAAAGAACACCTGCAAACACCTGGCTCTTTGGCCCTCATCCTCTTTTGACCACTAAACCAGCATGCCACCAAAGCTGTAGCTTTGTAGATCAGGCACTGTCATTGTGTGATCTCAGTTATGCTCAGTGCAACTCAAGAGCCTGGTTTTATCTGTAACAGTCTTTTCAGGCTTTGAAAGCAGCAAAAAAGAATACTCAATCATGGAAAGTAAAAGGGTTCCAGGACATGGAGTGCTGACACACACCACAGCTACATCTGACAGACATCTCGTGATGCAAATGCCTGGGAGAACCTAGCAACAGCACAGAGAATACCTGGTGACAGAACTGAATGAAGACTTATTTAGAAATAATCATCTTCAGGAAGCAGCAAGTTCTACTGATGTAAAATCCAGTGTATTTAGAGTTACACTACATATTCTACTATTTTCTTGCTGCTGACAGGGACTGAGAGTGTCATTCTACCCCCCCAAATACACACACACTACACTTTAACCATTCCCATGTTGACCTGACCATTTCCCAGTTCCTTCAGTTTGCTGGAAAATAAGCTGGGGGCAGAGGGAGTAGTCATCCACTGCATTAGTAAGTTAAAAGAGCCTACCAAAAAGTCATGCATTACTAGATGTTGTGCAACATTGGTGGTAGATGAAACAGAAGCAGTCACACCCCTTGTCACTGGGCTACAAAGACAGATACCAGTTGCAACTCCTCTCACTGAAAAGCAGTAATACTCTAGTTAGCATGAAGCTATTACAACAAGCACCTCACCTTGGAAGTAAATCTAACACAGGAATGTCTGTATTGATTCAGCAATGTACTTCTAACTGTGAAAAGATTTTTAAAAGTAGAACTACACAAACATTAAGAAAAAGGACTGGATTTCAGTTTTTAAAGGCTAGTATTTGTTTTAGAACTTAAAGAATTCCAAAATATAAAACGGTTGTCAATAATTTTTGAAAAATGAAAACACAGGAGGTATCCTAGTAATTTTGTTTTTAAAAAATTGATCAATTTCTCCTTTCCTTATTATGCATAACATGTCCCTTGCAGCTTCCTTCAGGATTTGAAAAAAAAAAAAACAACCCACAACAAAATGACATTGTTTGCTTTATTCATAGTCCTCCAATAATGCAAAAAAGTACTCAAATTAAATAAAAGCAGGGCTTATGCCCTGAGGGAAAAGTATATGGAATCAGAGTTGCAAAGCATGACTTTCCTTTTGCCGAAGAAATCACTTGGCGATTTCATCAGTATTTGCACTGGAATGACTGATTAACTGAACTTGACTTAGGGTTCCAGTTCATAAGATGCAAATGGTTCAGTGAGCCGAAGAAGAGCTAAGAGCTCTTGGCCAAACCTGCATCACAATTTTGCAAAATGAACATTTATACTGCAGCAAAGAGGCCTGACTAAATGCTGCCATAAGTGATGGCCACTTGTCACTACAAACCAGTCCTCCAAAACGTAATGAACAAGTATGCCTGGCAGTCCTAATAAGAAGAACCTGAGGTAGCATGGGGTTATAGTGATGGTAGAGTTTAAATCTAAGTCTGACAGCTCATCAGACCAAACAAACTGCACATACAGAACACCAATTTGGACAGCTCTATCAATCACAGGAGAAGGTAGAGCCATCATGCCAACAGGCAACCAGCATGCTAAGACTGCAATGGCTTAATGCTTTCAATTTGTTTGATTTTATTTCCCCATATTAACTTTTGTGTCAGGACAAGGACCAACTGAACCAATTGTTTAAGGATGAAGGTGAAAAACAGACTGCTTCCTTCAGATTTTGTCTCCTTTATTTCCTAATTCTAATGGATTTTGACCTTCTGACTTGTTCCTTCCCAACTGCAGTAACATGTCATGCGCTTTCTTAGAATTAATTTGTTTCAGCTTCTAAGTGGTCTGTACCATCAGTTACTAACACTGAACTGCCTTTCCACTAACAGCTTTCTTAATTATTTTATTGTAAGATATTCTATGTTTAGAGGTGGTAATAGCCTCGTAAGTAATTAGGCAAATGGTGTAATTTCTATGTACTCTATTCACAGTAAGTTCATTCTCCTAACTGCAGGAATAATTATTTTCTTTTTTTTTCTTCAC